TTGCTTTACTTATACTTTCTGCACCTTTTTCAAGGCTATTGTATAGGTCTTTGTATACACGCTTTTTTGCTACAGCTACTTCTTCAGTTGTTTATTAGCCACTTTTAGTCTTTTGCGTAGTTCTTCGTCCTGCCTATCTCTGTCCCTTGCCTTCTTGCATTCTCTCATTAACTTAACAGCTTCCTGGATTTCACTATTCCACCACCATGCTTCCTTTCCTTCTTTTTTATTCCTAGGTGATTCTCCTAATACTTGTGTAGCCACTGTTCTAAGTTTCGTTGTAACTGTGTTCCAGTCCTTGTCTTCCTGATATATTGTGTCTTTCACTTGTATAAATTCCCTCCTTGTTTCTGCTTCTTTCAGCTTCCACCACTTTGTTTTCTTCATCGCCTTTTCTTTCACCTTCAGGTCACTTTTTACTTTCACTTTACATAACACTGGGCGGTGTTGTTCTGCCACATTTTCCCTTGGCAGTGTTTTGCAGTCTATGACATTCTTTACTTGGTCTCTTTGGCATAGGATATAGTTAATCTGGGTTCTCTTGTTTCCACTAGTATATGCGATTATTTGTTTACCTTTCTTTGTGTAATAGGTGTTAACTATTGCCAGTCTAAATGCTTGCGCCATCTCCACTATACGTGAGTCCTCTTCATTTCTTGTTCCATAGCCATGCTTTCCAATACAGTCTTCTGCATTCTCGTTTCCCATTCCTACATGTCCATTGAGATCCCTACCTATCCAGATCCTCTCATTTCCCTGTTACATCCTGTAGCATTTCACTCAGCCTGTCCCAAAATTTGTCTTTTTTATCCTCATCACATCCGGACTGTGATGCATATGAACTTATGACGTTAACAATCTCTGTACCCATCTGTATTTTAACTGAGATCAATCTATCCGACTTTCTTTTCATTTCCATTACATTCTTCTCATTTGTAGGGTCGAGTATAACTCCTACACCATTAAATTTTGTCTCTGTACCATAGTAAAATAATTTCTACCCATTTCCAATTCTCTTGCCTTTTCCCCTTTCCATTTAGTTTCTTGAACAGATTATATTGAGGTTTTTGTGCTCCTTTAGATCCACAATCTCCATGCTTCTGCCGGTCATAGTTCCGACATTCAGTGTTGCAACTATCATCTGGCTTTCCACACTTTCTTTTTTTCCTCCGTCTTCGTTGAGCTATCTTTTTTAGTGGTATTTGTTCCTGATATGGTAGTCGTCTCATTTTTTACAGACCCACGGCGATCGATCTGCGCGTCGTTTCCGGAGGACGCGCTAGATTGTTACGTCCTTGAATATGCATCATAGTTTTTGCTTGGCTGATGTATAAAGGCCGCATGCCCTTGCTAACGCCATCCTCCCCATTTACCCGGGCTTGGGAGATATATATAAATATATATATATATATATATATATATATATATATATATATATATATATATACATATATATACATATGTATATAAAACTTTGATTCTTTTGTATGTATATACATACATATACATACATATTCATGTGTGTGTGTGCATATATATATATATATATATATATATATGTGTGTGTGTGTGTGTGTATGTATGCATATATATATGTATTTATATATACATATGTATATATATACACTCACATACACCCCCCCACACACACACACACACATATAGATATATACGTGTGTGTGTGTGTGTGTATATATATATTCTTTCATGCATCCATTTTTTATTTCCAAAAAAATATTCCTTTTCCTTTTTCTTTTCCTGAGAAGTTGCAATTAACTCTTTCGCTTTGGAAGTAACGAGACCAAGCCAAGCAATGAATATTTCAAAGTGCCAATAGCGGCATTCTAATGGGTACTAGCGTGCAATGTTAAAGATATTTATGTTTCTCGTAAAATATTTGTGACTTGCCTACTTTCCTCGTCTCTCATTTACTTATCTTGCCCTCGGTTCAGCAATATCCTTTTAAGCCATTTATCAGTCTGCCTGCATGTAATCCCTCGCATCTCACGACACGGAACGTTATATATATATGTGTGTGTGTGTGTGTGTGTGTGTGTGTGTGTGTGTGTGTTTATGTGTTTGCATGTGTGTGTGTGTGTGTGTGTTTATGTGTTTGCATGTGTGTATGTGTGTGTGTGTGTTTGTGTACATATGCATGTACGTAGGTATGCAAGTATGTACGTATGTTTTCATTTGTAGTCTTTAATCTCGAAATGCTGGTGAGTAAGATAGGGTTCCATAGGAAAACAATAAAAAAAGGATTTAGCAATATTGCAAAACAGAATATCATCCTGCACCATACATCATACGTCGTACATTGAATGCCGTTGCTAATCTCCAAAGCTTCGTAAACCACGCCTCGAATAATGCTTTTACTTCATGAAGATATCTAATAACCAACTATTTACTTATACGAATACTGTACAGTGTAATCCCCCATCCAGCAAAAATATATAAATAACAAAAACAAATAGATATGAACTTTAATCCCTTAATATCCGTTAAAAAAAAAAATAGATGAGGAAAAATACATTGAAATCTTAATCCGCAAAAAAAACATTTTCTCTGGCGTCCAACAGCCATCCGTACTCGAGTATCTATTTCGTACCCTGAGGTTTAAAAATTTATATTTACAGTGCACTCTGCGGAAGTCCAAGGTGTGTGTGTGTGTGTGTGTGTGTGTGTGTGTGTGTGTGTGTGTGTGTGTGTGTGTGTGTGTGTGTGAAAGTGCAACAGTTTAAAATGGTTGGTGAATTATCATATCTCTTCAAGGTAAAGAAATCTTATAGCATATACTCATATTCATATTCAGTATATCAAAACCCAGTCACGTAACAAATATTCAACAGATTACTATGTCAAATCACCTTCATAGAGAAATAAGTAATTCAGTAAAATTAATAATGTTCATAATATTGATAATAATAATAATAATAATAATAATAATATCAATATAATACTAATATCATTGATGGTGATGATGATAACAACAACATCAATAATAATAGTGATAATGACAATAATAATAATAATAATAATAATAAAATAATGATAACAATACTACTAATAATAATAACAACAACAATAATAACATTGAAATAGAATAAACGAAGTAAAATAAGAGTTCAAACTAAGACGACTATAATAATATTAGTATCGCTACAAATAAGCAACAACTTGTTCCGAAAACAGAGCCTCGAGTTCAAACACCTAATCATACTCTGATACAAAAATTTCCCTCAATTGTCATCTGGCACATGCCCAGTTTGTCTCGGATTTGCATCACGTTTCATAAATACCACTTTATATCCCGTGGATTGTGGATCAAGCTGAATAATCAAAATATATTCCATTTACAGCAAAATTAGTGGCTATCGTTTGTGATTTGAAAGGGTATCCGTCTGCAGGGTATTAGTCTTTAACTGTCAATAAGTTATTATTCTTAAACGATGCAGTTTCAATCAACGAATGTATGATGTCAACAATGATGTGCATTTATTCTCTGGATGATGAAAGGAAGTTTGTTTGTTTGCCAAGTTACATTCCTGTTCATTATAACTACTGTAATCATCTCTTTGCCATTTATTTTCACAATAAGGGCTGATGCCGTTATATGAAAGTTTCCTTCTTACCGGATATATCTTTATTCTTTCCCTCTCACGTCCGTTGTGGGAGTGATTCGTGAATTAAATTAATATTCAGTATTTAACAATTTGCCAGTGATACATAAGGTACTGATAAACACAAAGATAAACAATTCAGCCACTGACACGCGAGAAAAACTCCGCAGACCCACTCTCTTTGAAAGCTTTGGGAATTCGCTCCATTTTCTATCACAGATCCCCCCCCTTTTGGACCTTGCCATGCCCCTGGTGCTCTGTTACCGGCAACCCTTCGAAGGTGCACTATAATTTCAGATTCTCTCTCTCTCTCTCTCTCTCTCTCTCTCTCTCTCTCTCTCTCTCTCTCTCTCTCTCTCTCTCTCTCTCTCTCCACTCTCTCTCTCTCTCTCTCTCTCTCTCCACTCTCTCTCTCTCTCTCTCTCTCTCTCCCACTCTCTCTCTCTCTCTCTCTCTCTCTCTCTCTCTCTCCTCTCTCTCTCTCTCTCTCTCTCTCTCTCTCTCTTCGTATACATTTAAAGGACACCAAATAATACATTTTATAGCGTTTATTTAGAATCATAACTCTCGAAAACTGATGTGAAAGTGTGAATATCAATTATGCAACAAGCAAAATAGTACTACTATAGTGAATGAAAATATAAAGGAAAATGCGTTGGCGGTTTTGGAATTTACTGCAACGTTGCCAAATGGTGTGACTTGTCCGTGTTCATAAACTTCCTTTTCCCATTTGGCATTTTATTGGTTTCAAAAGTTGGGTTCACTCTAACTTTTTCACATTAAAGTATATTCGTATATTTGATTTTGTTACATAATGCTCAGTAATATGCATATATTACCTGTCTCCACATAAATATCTATTTTTTTGATAGAAAGGATCTACTTATTTTCATTTCTTTGTAATAGGCATTCCTCTGTTAGTAAGGTATGAGAATATCTGTAGATGCTCCATCATAGGGCAGCACTACTCACGACACTGAGTAATATATATTAAATTGTTCAATGTCTTTACAATAACAAAAATGACTGCAATCAAAGGTTAGATAAATGTATATTGATTCCACTGATGTGTGTCTCATCGAAGGACAGAAAAAGGACAGCATTCGACAGTCTCTCATGCGAGATACTTGTATTCTTGGATTTGATCGCCCGTCGCGTATATCGCACGCTCGACAAGCTATAGCTACAACCCGTCAGTCAGTTGTTTTTTCGATAATGACCTTAACTGTTGAAGCAGCAGATAATTTTAAATAATCAATCATCTTTAGGTACATTCTCAGAATAGCTAACATGTATGTATATGTATGGAAAATATTAACTACAGAAAACAAAGACTAATACATATGAAAGTAAAACATCTGTTTTTGTTTTGTTTTTTTTATTCATGATGAAATATACTCTTAGAAGCATTTGCGATGGACAATGCCGGGGCCAGACTCGTCGTACTCATCCTTGGTGATCCACATGGTCTGGAATGTGGACAGTGAAGCCAGGATGGAACCACCGATCCAAACGGAGTATTTACGCTCGGGAGGAGCAATGATCTTGATCTTGATAGTGGAAGGAGCAAGGGCAGTGATTTCTTTCTGCATGCGGTCAGCAATACCAGGGTACATGGTGGTACCACCAGACATGACAATGTTAGCAAACAGATCCTTCCTGATATCAATGTCGCACCTCATGATGGAGTTGTGGACGGTTTCCTGAATACCAGCAGATTCCATACCAAGGAAGGAAGGCTGGAACAGAGCCTCAGGGGCACGGAAACGTTCATTGCCGATGGTGATGACCTGACCGTCAGGAAGCTCATAGGACTTATCAATAGAAGAGGAGGCTGCAGCGACGTTCATCTCACTCTCGAAGTCAAGGGCGATGTAGCAAAGCTTCTCCTTGATGTCACGAACGATTTCACGTTCAGCGGTGGTGGTGAAGGAGTAGCCACGCTCAGTCATGATCTTCATCAGGTAGTGGGTCAGGTCACGACCAGCAAGATCCAGACGAAGGATAGCATGAGGAAGAGCGAAACCTTCATACACAGGGACAAAGTGAGTCACACCGTCACCAGAGTCACAAACCTGACCAGTGGTA